CTAATGACCTTGAACATTTTTTCATGTGCCTGTTGGCCATTTGGATTTCCTCTTTTGAAAAATGTCTATTGAGGTCCTTGGCCCATCTCTTAAGTGGGTTGTTGGTTTTGTTTTTGTGGAGTTTCTTGATCTCTTTGTAGATTCTGGTTATTAACCCTTTATCTGTTGCATAGTTTGCAAATATTTTTTCCCATTCTGTCGGTTGTCTCTTCACTCTCCTGACTGTTTCTTTTGCAGCACAGAAACTTCTCAATTTGATGCAATCCCAATAGTTGATTTTGGCTTTGACTGCCTGTGCCTCCCGGGTCTTTTCCAGAAATTCTTTGCCTGTGCCAATATCTTGAAGGGTTTCTCCAATGTTCTCTAGTAACTTGATGGTGTCAGGTCATAGATTTAGGTCTTTAATCCATGTTGATTGGATTTTTGTGTAAGGTGTAAGTTAGGGGTCTTGCTTCATGCTTCTGCACGTGGAAATCCAATTTTCCCAGCACCATTTATTGAATAGACTGTCCTTGCTCCAGGAATTAGTTTTAGATCCTTGATCAAATATAAGTTGGCTGTAGATGTTTGGGTTGATTTCTGGTGTTTCAATTCTGTTCCATTGGTCTATCCATCTGTTTCTGTACCAGTACCATGCTGTTTTAATTACAACTGCCCTGTAGTATGTCCTGAAATCTGGTATTGTGATGCCTCCGGCTTTGTTTTTGTTGTACAAGATTGCTTTAGCTATTCGAGGTCTCTTGTGCCTCCATATAAATTTCAGCACCATTTTTTCCAGATCTGAGAAGAAGGTCTTCGGTATCTTGATTGGTATTGCATTGAATCTGTAAATTGCTTTTGGGAGAATGGACATTTTGATGATATTGATTCTTCCAATCCATGAGCATGGAAGATTTTTCCATTTCTTGGTATCCTCTTCTATTTCTTTCTTTAAGGTTTTGTAATTTTCATCGTAGAGATCTTTAACGTCTTTGGTTAAGTTTATTCCAAGGTATTCGATTGTTTTTGTAGCTATTGTGAATGGGATTGATCTTAGAAGTTCTTCCTCAGCCATGGCATTGTCTGTGTATACAAAGGCTGTTGATTTTTGTGCATTGATTTTATACCCTGCTACTTTGCCAAACTCTTCTATGAGTTCCAATAGTCTCTTAGTAGAGTTCTTTGGGTCCCCTAAATAAAGAATCATATCATCTGCAAAGAGGGATAGTTTGAGTTCTTCCTTCCCAATTTGTATCCCTTTAATTTCTTTTTCTTGCCTAATAGCTCTGGCTAGAACCTCCAGAACTATGTTGAATAGCAGTGGTGAGAGTGGACATCCCTGTCTGGTACCAGATCTCAGTGGAAATGCTTCCAACTTTTCCCCATTCAATAGGATGTTGGCTGTGGGTTTTTCATAGATTGCTTTGATTGTATTGAGGAATGTTCCTTCCAAACCCAGTTTGCTTAGAGTTTTCATCATGAACGGGTGTTGTATTTTATCAAATGCTTTCTCGGCATCTATTGAGATAATCATATGGTTTTTCTTCTGCAGTCTGTTAATGTGGTGTATCACATTGATTGTCTTGCGCACATTAAACCATCCCTGCATACCAGGGATAAATCCCACTTGGTCTGGGTGGATGATCTTTCTGATGTGTTGTTGCATTCTATTGGCGAGAATTTTATTGAGGATTTTTGCATCTATGTTCATCAATTCTCTGTTTATATTACCATAGCTTTGTCATAAATTTTAAAGGATTCTTTCCATTTCTAGGTTCTCTTATAACTTTGAATTCCTTAAATTTTCCTACTTTATTAGTCATATGTTTCTTCCTATTTGTTCTTATTTATTTATTTACTTTTACTGGCAGCTAAGTAGTTGTTTTCTAGTGCTTCTTTACTGCTTGACAGGTTAATTTAAGTTTTAGGGTAGTATTTAATTTCCTCACAGTATGGACCCAGCCTACTCATCCAACATTCTTTCTCTCTACCTTGAAAGAACTCATTCTTCAGTCAAATCGTTCCATCCCTTCCATACTTGCTCATTTATTTATAGCATTGCCTCCTCTGGAAGTGCTGCTTTCTCATTGTAAACTGTAGGAACCCTATCTATCCATCCATCCATCCCTCCATCAGTCTATCCAAGTTCACCCCTGATGCCACATTCTTATGTGGCCTTCTTTCTAATACCCAGGAAGTGTTTTCACCTTTTAATTTACCTATTATTTTCTACCTTTCATTATCCATACCTGTCTACTTGTCTTAGCTATTAAATGGGATATAATAAATGCCAAGATTAGTTTCACTATAGTTACTTGACTTGAATATACTCATATCTATAACACTGTTTTAACTTATGATAGTGCTACATCTCTTACTGGTATGTTATTCTATGGGTACAAAGTAAAAAACAGTATCATAATACATTCGTTTTACATGGTGGAGTTAATTTACAAAATTTTGACAGTGAAGGCTGGTGAGTGTCAGCATGGAAGGAAAGCTACTGTTCAGCCTCACAGAAAATAGCAGCAGCACTTTCAAAATGGCCTTAATGAGATTTTCTGTATTCAGACAAAAGACCATGACTTCATTCTTACTAACCTCAGAAGCATAATAAACTACCGTCAGTTTTGGCATTAACCCAATTTTGCCATTACCTTTTCCCATAAAATTTGATTAAGGAGCATTGCTAGACTTTTGTAATTAAGGATAGTGCACTAGAAATTTATTTCCTGTCTACAGTTTGTCGTATTCTGAAAGACAGTGAAGTTCTGTGAATATTTATAAACTTGTGGCTGCTAACATCTGGCTGAGCCACTTTTTTTTCTAATGAGATACCTAAAATGAGTCGCAACCTCAAATCCAAGTTCTTGTTTTAACAAACAATTCATTTTGAAAATTTTTGGCTATTTTTCTTACATAGGAGTATCAAAGTGGCTATATTCTCTGGTTATTTTCTATGCATTTTATCAGAGCATAGGTTTATCTTACAATATTTTGTTGCTTTCCACAACTTCTGAATTAACAACCATTAATCCATGGCACAAGCCTGGTTAAGTCAATGTATTTGACTCTGAATTTGTAGTAAGCCTTTATCTATGAAGAGTTTTTTGAATGGCTTGTTTATATCATTGGTTTTTTTTTTTTTTCTATTTTAGTTCTGCTGTACAGAATTCAGAAAAGAAGAGATTGTTTTTTAAATAAAGTTTCACTTGATATGGGCTATGTTTTAACCTGTAAAAGTTATTCTAACTCATTCTGTTTCTGCATTAAATTTTTCTCTTTAAAGATTTTCCCCCATTGAGTTGAATATTTGTGTCAAGTCAATTTAAGTGAATATAGTAAAATCAGAACAATGTGATCTAAACTGCTCTTAACTGACTGAATCAGTAACAATTTTTTTTTTTATAGAACATTTCTTTCACAAAGAAGGAAACACTCTGTACAGCAGCTAGCCTGGCAGGTTTCTTTCTTTAGTGGTGCTCATGATCTGTGGGCTCCTTGTACAAAATATTTTTCTTCCCAGTTGATTCAAGGTCTAGAAGAGTTGTAATCTCTACATTGAGTGCACCTGGTTAAGCCATTTAAATGACAGTCTTCTTTTCTTTAAGCTATTCTTTTCTTTTTGGTCCCAACTTCTGTTTGTGCACAGGTAATGGAATTAGATACGTTGAAATATCTAATCTGATTTTCGCTTCTTAACATGTATCACAAAATGTTTTAGACAGCTCAGGAGAATCCTGGGCCTTAATTTTATTCCTCAGTACATCTAAAAATCCTCCAATAGACACTTTATCATGTGTGCACTCCAACAACAGTCAAAATTGCTTATGGAGTCCTGAATCCTATCACAGCACTGAGTACTTCCTATGCATTAATTTAGTCCTCACCATTGTGCTGTGTATAATAGACCATAGCAACTATCAATTTTAAAAATGAAGACACTGGGACTGTTACTGTGTAATGCAGGCATCCCATACTGGAGTCCGAGTTTGAGTCTCAGCTGCTCCACTTCAGATCCAGCTCACCTCCAATACATCTGGGAAGGTAGTGGAAGATAACCGAAGTACGTAGCCCCTGCTACCCATGTAGGAGAGTAGGATGGAGCTCCTGGCCCTGGTTTGACCTGGCCCAGTACTGACTGTTAAGACCATTTGGGGAGTGAACCAATAGATAGAGTCTTCCACTCTCTTTCCCTGTCTCTGTTACATTTTGCCTTTCAAGTAAACATGTAAATAAATCTTTTAAAAAATAAAATTAGCCCAGGCATTAGTTTTATAACCTTGAATTTTCACAGTAAATGAAAACTGTATTCTCCAATAGTCATAAAAGAGGGTCTTCAACTTTTATAGTAATATTACAAGTATCATTGTGTGCTGTGTACATTTCTAAGCATTTTATCAGCACTAATTTGCTCTTGGTGGCTTTATGAAGCAAGAGTTAATTACAAATGAGGAAATTGAGCACAGACAAATGAAATTTATGAGGCTATACTATATGCGGTGGAGCTGGAGGTAAATTTATTCATTTTTTTTAACAGAAGGCTATTTCTGTGCAGCCCCAGCCAATGTAGTGTTCATTGCCTTTAGTTTATTCCTTGGTCTGTAAAAGAAACAGTAGGGACCAGTGTGTGGCGTACTAGACTAAGCCTCTGCCTGTGGCACCAGCATCCCATATGGGTACCAGTTCATGTCCTGGGTGTTCCTCTTCTGATCCAGCTCTCTGCTAATAGCCTGGGAAAGCAGTGGAATATTGCCCAAGTGCATGGGCACCTGCAGCTTTGTGGGATAGCTGGGGAAGCTCCAGGCTTAAGATCAGCTCAGCTCTGGCCATTGTGGCCATTTGGGGAGTGAACCAGTGGGTAGAAGACCTTTCTCTTTTTTCTCTTCCTCTCTCTGTAACTCTGACTCTCAGATAAATGAATAAAATCTTTGAAAAAAAAATTAAAACTTGAATGTCTTCATTAATCTTAAGTTTTTCCTAACAAAAAAATAATGGCTTCTATGGATTCTTTCTTACAGGGCGTTCTACTTGGACAAGTCAAATTCACCATCCAACTCTACGTCCAAAGCTGCCTATGTAGATAAGGTAAAAAATAGATCATGTTTATTGGTGCTTTATTATTTATATATCTCCCTTTCATTTTTCTGCTGTTACTTTGAGCAATGCATAATTATACATATTTGTAGTTTCCAGTTCTTTTACCTCCATAGCAAAATATTTTAGACTCTTCATTAAAAATCTTAACAGCTGTGAATTGTATCCCATCTAAAGGGATTTCTACTAAACATGTTGAGCTTTATGTTTCTCACTTTTTTCTGCAGCTAATGAGGCCTCTCAATGCTCTGGATGAACTTTATCGACTGGTTGCCTCATTCATCAGATCCAAACGCACAGCTGCCTGTGCGAACACAGCTTGCAGTGCCTCTGGAGTTGGACTGCTCTCAGTGGCCTCGGAGCTGTGCGACAGGCTCGGAGCCTGCCACGTCATCATGTGTAGCAGTGGTGTGCATCGGTATGTGACTCCCCTGCCCTCCTGGCTGCTTTGTCATTGCATGTAGTGGTTCTGACTCCAGGAAATTAAAACCGGAAACACTCAGAGGATTCAGATGTATTTGGAAAAAGATTTTGGATGTTTGCTGGTTTTAGTTCTTGTATTTTCAGGGACCATTAGTTTATGCAAATAAAGTCAATCCCATATTTATATGATGGTGGCCTAGAATCTTATGCCCTTGCATTGCTATGTATTTGTACAAAACTCTGCATCCATTTTATTTACCATAGGTGTTTTCTTGCTAGGAACTGATTCAACTAACTCAACCAGACTTTCAGTGCACTTAATAGACATTTTAATATTCAGTGGTTCAGATCCCTACAGCCCACATATTCAGAGGTAGATGCTGTCTGGGGGTTGCTGCTGCAACCTCCTCCTCTGAGAATAATTATGGGCCAGGAGCTCTCACATTGTGCTTTTCTTGAGAATGCATGAGCACATTTTCAATGGATCTCATTCAGAGTTTGTCACAGGCATCTGTGCTCTGTCTGTAACCGCCAGGGAAAGTGTATGAATTTGTGTAGCTACATCAGACTCATCAGACTTGAAGTCTGAGTGGGAATCCCCAATGCAAGTCCCTCATCATAATCATCTGCCCCTCTTCTGTCACCTGTGCATTTTCACAAGCAATTAAAGCCATGTAGATGGAATTTTAGTCTTTTAACCTAAGCAGGAAGCTGGTGACACAAGACACAGCCCCTTCTTAGTACTAAGCCAGTTAGATTGTAAGGATGGTGTTTACTTATTTACTCAAAGGGACTCAGTAGTTAATGCATGAAGAGAACTGTGGTTACAGCTGTAAAAGGTGCTGTGAGCTCGCATAGAGAGCAGACATTCGTGTGCGAGTCTTAAAATGTGAACAGCAAACAATAAAAAATATTAACAAAATGGCAATAAAAACAGGACAAAAGAACATAAGATATAATAACAATGATAAAAATTAAAAATACTAGGATTCAAGAAAGTGTAAATGATTTAGGAAAGATATAGCTAAAAATCAGTTTCATAATGAAAATAGTAAAACATAATATACCAATAACATAATAATAAAAAATGGCACACACACATAACACTAGAGTATAAGAAAGTCGAAATAACTGGGAAAGCTAGAGATAAAGAATAAGATTTGGTGGGAAACAGATACTGAGGTGGTTTGACCTAAGAACTTACAAAGGAGAAGGTGATGCTGGAATTAGATTTTGATGAATCATGTTGTAGAGGTAGAAAGGGGAGAATGGCCGTTCAAGGCCACAGCCTCTCATCTGCACAATTCCATTTTAACTTGGTAATGCCACCTTCCAGCTTGCAAGCCCTATACAACACAGTGTTGCACATGAAAAGTGACAGGACTATTTCTGTGAAAGCAATGTTAAGATATTTGTGATTGGCAAAATGTACAGAATTCCCCTTCTCCTTTATTTTATTGCTGTGTGCTTTGCACTCTATTACAGACTTGTTAAGAGCTTAATTGGAAAATATCTTCTACACTGTATGAGTCAAACATTATTTTATAATGTAATTTACTTCTGATAAAATCATGTTCACTCAGTCATTCATTCAGTCAGAAAATGTGCATTGAGCACCAGTTACATTCCAGTACTGTTCAGGTTGCTGAAAACACTGCCTTGAAAGGATAAAGTCTCTGTTCACATAGACTGCATTGGTTTGGGGGAAGTAGATGGTAAAGTAAACAAATTATGTAATGTGGCAGATGGAATAACTATAGGTAGAGAAGGTGATGATATAATAAAAAGTGGCACACTTTCCAAGAGAGCAATTTTGTTGAGATCCAGGTGAAGAGTGTATCATGCAAATGTCTCAGAGCAAAGTCTCCTGACCATGGACTTGGTCAGGACTTGGTAGTGAGCCGTAGAGCTCGCCTTGGGTTGGGAGCATGCCTACTGCATGTGAACACGCCTACTGTGTGCAAGAAGCAATGAGTCTGCTGTGGCCTTAACAAAATGGCATCACCTTGACGGGATATACTGGATATATATATAACAACCAAGAGCACGCGTTAGACTTTGAACTTATAAGCATACGCTCTTACCTCCACACTTAACTCAATCAAAGCTTGATGTAATCAATCACATTAATGTAATTGATTAATATAATTAAAGCTGTCATGTAATCCTAGAGACCATGACCCAGTTGTCCAAATTATTCTTTCAGTTGTTTCATGAGCAATTTTAGAATTTGACATATACTGCATAAGAGAAGCAGATCAGTTTTCTGCAACTATTGCTTAACTGCTGTATTCACTGATTGGTTTGTTAGAGTCACAAGTAACATTGAAGTTTTGGAATAGTTTGATTTTCCTTATTTCTACACACAAAATAATTCTAGCTTTAGTAATTTCATTTCAGGAGACATTTACTAAACTGTAAGCACACAAAAATAGACACTGAATTTAAGGTTAAAACCCTGCGAAAATTGTAATTGTATTTTCCTGTAATGCAGAATAAACTGAGAGTTTGACACAATCCTTAATTTTTCAGTGGAGACTATACTTAGATTTTTCACGATGATAAAATGTGTGCTAATTTATATTGGAATCCAGAATGCCACAGAAGGCTGTTCCTAAAATAATCCTTTAGTAATTCTAATTCTGACAGCTAGAGAGGAGCCCAAGCAGCTCCACACCTGCACAAAACATTAAACATGAGGGTTTACCGGCAGGTTCTGACAGAGGGCAGAAATTCACAGTGTCAATTAGAATAAATATTACACGAGCTATTTTTATCATTAACTTTTAAAATCAAGGTGCGAGCCAACAATATGCTCTCCACATTAGACAGTCAGATCTCTGCCTTTTCTGGTTTTATTGAGCAAAACCAGCAGATCTAAAATATTTTTAATGTATTGAATTATGCCGCATACTTTGGTATTAAAGGAAAGAATGTGGTTTTTCAGAATGAAAAGGCAGATTTAATTAGCATTAACGTCTAGATGTTTTAATGCCAACCTGAATCAGATGCCAAGACTGCACACAACAATGAATATGAGATTAGTATGAATAGAATCCAGGATGAATTATTAAAATCTTCTCCTAGCATTTTGCTTGGCCTCGTTTTATCAAATTCCCTCTCATAGGTAATCCTTTGTGTGCATTACAAGTCTTCTGATGAACTTTCCTGTCTGTACTCGTAAGCCATCCACTTAGGTTCAGCATCTCCATTGCCACTGAACAGTGGAAGAGAATAGGACTGTTTCTTTTTAAGATCAGGTTTTTGATTTGTATGCAATATAAAGAAGATCAAAAGGTAGTTTAGTAATGGAAAACTTCCCACTATTTCCTGTGAACATACCATTTTGCTTCATCTCTCACAACTCTGTCCAACAACATATATCTAAACAGCATCTTCTTGTTCTATATTAGTGTCTTAGATTGCTTGTACTGTTACAACAAAGTACCTGACACTGAGTAATTTATCAAGTCCAGGGATTTGTTTGCTCATGGTCCTAGAGGTGGGAAAGACCAAGGTCAAGGGGCTTTCAGTTTGATGTTTGTTAAGGATCCTGTCTCTACTTCCAAGATGGACCTTGAACATTGTGTCCTCACATGTTGGGAAAGACAAGGAACAGATGGAGGAGGCAGCTCCTTTGAGACTCTTTGTGACTTATTCATCTGCAGAAGGCCCCATGACTTGATACTCTCACACTGAAGATTCAGTTTCAAAATGAGTTTTGGAGGCTACATTCCGACCATAGCATATGGTTTCATAAGCTGCCTTATGCTCATAGCAGTATATACTTATTTTCCAAATGTGCACCTAGACTTTGAATGCACTCCGCAAGTTCATGTATCAGAAACATCCCATTGCCATAGTGTTGGGATGGCCCATGGAGAGGTGAATAAATCGTGATGAGTGGCGTTATTGTCAGAATGGGTTATTCCGAGTTCAACCCTCTCGTTCTCTCTGTTCTTGAACTCTCTTGCCTCTCTGCCTTCTGTCATGAGACAGAAGGCCCTCAACAAATGCTGGCCACTTGACCTTGGACTTCATAGCCTCCAAACCTATATGAAATACATTCTGTTCTTTGCAAATATCTAATAAAAAGGATTCTGTAAATAGCAGCACAAAATAGACTCAGGCATTCTTTCTCGTCACTTTTCATTGCTATATAATATTCCAGAGAGCTGGTGTAGCATAATCTTTGAAACTCATAGTTCAGTATTTCCTTCTCACTTGTACATAATGCCAACATTGAGGCATCTTTCTATATAATGCTGTTCTAATTTGAGGGCTTTTTAAAGTGTACCCTTTGTAACTTTTTTTTAAGATTATTATGTGAAAGGCAGACACACCGAGAGACAGACAGACAGAAATAGTTCATTCACTAGCTGACTTCCTAAATGCTCACAGCAGCCAAGGCTGGGTCAGGTCAAAGCCAGGAACCTCCCAGGTCTCCCATGTGGGTAGCAGGAATCCAAGCACTTGAGCCATCTGCTGTTGCTTCCCAGTGTGCACATTAGCAGGAGACTGGAATCCTAAGTGGAGTCTGGACACCAACTTGGGCCCTCTGATATCGGGTGCAGGCCTCTCAAGGGGCATCTTAATTGCTATACCTAACATACATCCCAAATGTCAGATTTATTTTCAGTTAGGCTAAATGAAATAATTAAAACTACAACAACAAGAACCCTCCAGATAGAATTACAGTGTGTAAAAGCTTAAGCCTTTTTCATTAATATGTTGCTGTTTAGGTTCCCAAAAGGATTTTCCTCAGGCGCACAAAGAGCAGTAAGGTTGATAGTTGTATGGTACTTTCCTGCTTACCTTTTGTGCAGAGGGGGTTAGAATTCATTTAAAAATTGTATTTCTTTGCTAAACATACAGTTGTATTTCAGTGGCACCTTAATTTATACTTCTTTTTTTTTTTAAATATTTATTTGAAAGGCAGAGTTACAGAGAGAGGAAGAGACAGAGTGAGAGGTCTTCCACCTGCTAGTTCACTCC